AATGGATTGTTCTTGTGCCATATATTGCTTTTATGTCAAGCCAAGTATAACGAAAGAGAAAAATAATGTGTTATACTTTTATATGACATTTACGATTATAATAATAATACAACAAATCTAACTTCACTCAAACATTTACTCATTGAAATTTTTCTACAAATTTTTGCTTCACTTCCATTCCAAGAAATCGTTACCGCTTTCTCCGGTCTCAATTCATATATTGATTCAATTATTTACTCACTGTGAAGTATAAATTACATGATCAAGCATAATGACACCCACACTATTAACCTCTTACGTTTATTTTCAATTCAAATCACTTGTCTGGTTATTGTCAATGCCGAAATGATTGTCTTCACTTTGCAAATAAACCTGTATTCACTCATAATAAAATATGGTACTGATACACAATTTAATAGCATTCGTCCACAACATTTTTCCATGCTTGCAATTCTTCATATTTATACCAAGGAGCAATTTAAGTCATTCGTAAAAGATTCATTGAAGAAGGATATATCCTGTCGTCTGTTTTCCCTCAAAATCGACAGCTAAAGCCGTTTACTCTTTTTTAAAAACAATTTTTGATTGCTGTTTCCATAAACTCGATACTAACTGTCTTGATAAAAATTGATTTTTAATACTTCATATTGGGTGAGGATGTGTTTTGCGTCTGTACCTATGAGTAACGGTGTAGCCAGGATTTTTTTCAGCAGAATTATCCAGGGGACACAACAATACTCCACTTCGCCACTCATTCCTACCGACACCACTCACATCCTCTTGTAATATAATCCATTGATGAATGCCATTCCGCCATAAGACGTTACATATTATGGATATTTCAGCCACTAAGAATACAATTTACAAGAAGAGAATATGGTGGAAGATTACGATGAAGCAAAATAACTTCAAACGAATAATCAAAAATTAAACTAGCCTGTGAACTATTTTCGAACAGCATTTTATACGTTAATGTATCGTTGGTAGCTAGCAAAAATTATTGATTTAATTGAGCATATTTGAAATAGGAGGTTGGTCTTATATTTAAATTTATCATGATATTAAACATGGTCATTTAGAGCTTTTATTTCTTTATGGTTTTCGTTGATTTTCAGATTCGATTATTTGTGTGTATGTTTTACGTCGGTCTTCGAACTTGGGTTCAGCTCTTCCAAATGAAAAATAAGCGTGAGCGTCTTTAGATGTTATGTTTTCATGAATGATCTGTTGCAATTGAATATCGTTTGTCGTTGATACTATTGTTTTCATTTGTCAGTCTCTGTTCATTTTTCTGAGCACCTGTTACAGTTCATTCTTTATATATTTCCTCTTCTTTCAACTATACTGACATAGTTATATTTACATTCATGTTTGAACATGTGATATTTTTTTCTCTTCCTAATTATTCTCATTGAGTTGTTTTTCAGTCTGAATAAACCTTTTGATTTCGCAGCAACTTCATTGGTGCATAAGAATGAAACAGATCTCTTCTTTGCCTTATCTCTAACCTTGATAATGAGTTCAATTGAAAAAAAATGGGCTAATTTTTCATAATAATCATTTTTAAGTAATAAGAGAAAATAATTAATTCGAAAACCAGACTCAAAAAAAAAATAGAACAGAAAGGAAAAAAATTGTCGAGATATGTGTCGTGTCAAATTATTTTTAAAAACTGACTGCAATAGTCAAAGGCTGAAAACAAACAAAATTCTAATTGATTCTCGATAAGATTGTCGAATGCTGTCAAATCTTAAAGGGAAGACAACTGATTAAATTATAAGTGCTTTTCTAAAAAAAGTGATGCGATTGGCCTTGATAACAAAAAATCATCGACGAAATATTCTGTATGTTTTGTTTAATCTTTGCATGACGCAGCATTTTATTTTCTTCACAGCAATTCCACTAACTGTCTCTACTACAACGGGTCATTTTAATATGATATATTTCTTCTGTGTCTTCAATTTTTTCATTCTCTATATTGCAACGAAGCATCGTCTATGGTGATATGAGATTCCTATCAGTACTAAAAAAATTAAAAAGAAAGGACTTGTAATTCATAAAGGTATTAGCTAGTATTAATTTATACCCATATCAACTGTAATTTGACTCGTCTGACTGTCTAAAACTCATGTTTTGATCAATTATCTACTCTTGCTCAAGTAGTTGTAGGTAGTGCTACTCGAGTCCAATTGGATTCGAACTAGCAGTATCTGGTTCGACTGGATCTTTGTTCGCCTCAACTTCGTCTTCTGTCAGTGTTCACTGTCATTCCTTTCTCTGGGCTCACTAGTACTATGTATGATGTGCTATTCTCTTCTGGTCCGCATATCATATTCTCACTAGTATCACACATTATTTGCTCCCTTTCTTCGCTCGATTGATCAAGATCTCTCATATGATCGATGACCTTTTCTCCATGTTGAAAATCATTCATCTTTCCATTGCGAATAAAGGTAAGCTCATGTCAACTATCCATGTAAAAAAAGAATGGAAAAAGTCCACCTTTTAGTACTTTCAATATTAATAAAGTGACAAAAATTAAATTGTCTTACTAATTTTTATTTTGTCGTTTACAAGTATGTAATGGTATTTTCCCAAATTATAAAGAGATAATATTCCTTTCAGAAGTTCTTCATCGTACTATTCAGTGTCACGGAAGTAACCATATCCACTCAAATATGGTGCCTTTTCTCATTTGGAGTTAAATAGTTCCATCACATTTTGCTGCTCTATTCTCTAAGAATTGTATTCAAAGCTTTTATGATACTAGAATAATAAAATTCAATCAGTACTGTATTGCATAGCTTACTCATGTTACTTTGTAAGGAAACTTGCATGCCTCCTCAGTTTAGTTCGATTCATTGTTTCGATTCATACATACTGTCCTGTGTGAGCTTATCGTATTCTCCCTGGTCATCTTACACAAATAGAAATATTTCGATAAGAACCACTTAATGGCAAAATAATATCTAATAATCAATTATTTGTCGAAAGGATTCAATTTCGTTGTTTTCTAGTTGATCTCAACGACCAGTGATAACTTATTTATATGCATGCTTCATTTTCGTTGAGCTTGAGCGGAATATGGCGTATACTGCAGCATGAATCATCGAATTACTTATTAATATTCTCGCAATATTTCCTTTTGGCAGAAATCTGAGAGGCACTTATACAAAGATCATGCCATTACCCTATTTCACTAGTCTGTTAGTCATCAATATTATCATCGCATTAGTTGTCAATTCTTCTCTCACCGAAAATATCCTCCGAAGATAAGTATATACATGTTTGTAGGTTTTTTGGCATTTTGCTTTATCTGAGTGCAGAAAATTAGCTATGCAATTGTTTGACCTAAAAGATTCGTGAAAACTGGTTTGAGTAGCTAGACTATCTGTGTAAAATCAAATGAACTAAAGTTACTTGCTGTTTTTAATCATTTCAACTGGAACTGATCACTACCTCATTTGGTTCATAATAAATTTAATAGTTTCTAAAAAGCTATATGAAAAATTATCGTCACTGACATTTATACTGGGAATAGTCCTAGTGCCGAGTAATATTGCTTAAATTGCTGCAAAAGATTTTTTCGTTCTGGAAAGAATGAAGAACAAAATAGAATTTGAAATAAACCTTAATAAGTTTTTTATTCAATTATGGAATTCCATGACAAGTTCCGTCTATGTTTTTTTCATCAAGACTTAATGACAAAATAGAACGATATTTTTTTGTATCTTATATTACGATAAAAAGGTCAACGCAAACTTGGATGCAACATGTTGGTTGCAGCTCAGATTGATTATCTTAAATCTTACATATTAATAACCTACTACAAGCAAACGGCCTTGAAATTGTCAAAGATGTTAACTAGCATGATGAAAATTCTTCACTAGAATCCATTTTCTCTTGACACAAATCAGCACTTGTTTGAATCCAATCTTTTATGAAACGCAAGTAACAATCATTGTGAAAATCTAGAGCAAGAAACGAAAGTTCGAACGAAATCCAAAAATTCAATAATTGTCTTTTTTTTCTCTGTCCTCTTTTAATATAGGCCCAGACAAATTCATTGAGACATACATCTCATGCCTTTACAAATCTAAACAGAATATAGCATCTCCAATGAAAGACATATCACTACAGAGTTCTCATGTACAATAAAGATAGATAGATCGTGTTGCATATTTCAATGTCATAAATACTGTGCTGACAACTTTTGTTTTGATAATTTTTTGAATTGGTTTCGAACAAGTTTCTGTATTCTTGTTTCACGTAATACGCCTTTATCTTGTGCAAGATGCTATTTTTTATAGGGAATACAATTTGATATATATAAGGTTTTCGATTTTGTTAAGTTACAACATGTTCAGTAAATATTTTTTCTTCTGTTTATCTTATCGAATATTCTAATTTTCTTGGATTTGATCTATTGCTCTTCTTCTTCTGAGCTAGTGCAAGATCTATACGTGATTCCTACATTTTAAGACTATCACAAATTGTTTTAACACAAGTGTTAGGCTGATTTTCATTGAGTAGTATTGCTATTATCTTCTATTTCAAATCTTTTTTTAACTTTGTGTAAATTAACTTATTCGTTTTGTTATCGAACACAATCGAAATTCCAACTATTGATTCATTGCTATTTTATAAATCACAAAATCATGAAATGCTTTTTACTATCAATAAAATAGCACATGCATGCAAAAATATCGGCGCATTTTATGTTACCAGGTCGAAACTACCGACTTTTGTTAATGATTCGCAGACACTTCACTAATTATTACGTTTCTCTGAGTTACCTGTAGGCATAAAATATAAAATATCTAAAAAAACACAAAGTGGATAATCGTGGTTATGTGTGCAGCAAAAACTTGGAATCAGGTAAGTTACGTGAATGGATATATATGGGTAATGAAGATGGTGATAGTTATGCAAAGAATCAATGGCTCGAAGAAAATGAAATTCCAGGATAGAAAGATGTAATAAATTCTCATTTTAAATTAATGTCATCTACTGAAAATATACTCTATCAAGCATTTGCATTAGCACTCGGAAAAGATCGACATTTTTTAGAAGATAAATTTCATCGTGAACCGACTATCTTATTACTGAGATATCCAACAGGCGGTGAATGTCCCGAATACACAGATATTGGTTTTCTAGCTATCAGCTTATTAGATCCAGTTGGTGTCTTGAAAATTAAAACACGTGGAAATAATGAATGGATAGATGTACCTGCTCATCCAAACACATTTCTATGTCATATCAGTGATGCATTAGAATGGGTGACAAATGGTTTGTAGTATTCAGTTCCACGTCGAGTTAGACACCGTAAACCTAGTTACCGTTATGGCATCGTTATATTTAATTGTCCACATACTGATAGTGTTATTGCACCTCTAGATCATTTATTCGGAAATAATTCAACTGAAATTAATGAATACAAACGACCGCCTATCGTTTATACAAATTTGCACCGGATGAAATTGAATGAATTAACATATTGAATTGACTCTTTAGAAATTCATTTAACATCACTGGATAGGTTGTCCGATAAAAACGGCACTTTGAAGTTTTTGAATCAAGTACTTTTGATGAATTTCATTATAATTTGTGATTAATACTGATTTTATTCTACAGCAACTCACATTCATACGTAGATGATATGAGATTCATTTCTGTTGCTTGACTAATGTTTTGTTCTTTCAAATGAGTATCTTCAAGTTCTTTTTCACAGAATAATGCAAAATGATTTATCTGTCAGCAAAATATCGATCAGGAATATTTTGTGGACATCACTTCTGAAAATGTACAACTCAGAGTAACACATCACCAAAGTCACCATATGGGGTATGATGTAGAACATAGGTGAAGTTAGCACCCAATTCGAGAAATTTCTGCACCGATTGGTCCAGAAAGTATTCCAATTTGTTTCACTCGTGTTCCAAGTAGAACTCGGCGTGCTCTATAGAATGGTGCTGTCGGATTTGCTTTGTCTTTTAGCTTTCACTTACAAACACTAATGTGCGGATTCTCCCTATCCTACTAGATGCTAAAAGAGCAATTACAGCATCCATTTGCGTAGGATCCGTCCAAAGTATGGCTGTGAGAGGTGCATCCACACCCACACCCAAGATATACGTTAAAGGAAACGTGTCTGGTTACTTATCTTTAACACATTTGCGGTAATGTGAGTCATTGATGGCTCACGGCATATTTTGGAGTAGAAAATAATAAAAAAAGATTCTTGTTGGGTGGATCTAGATGTGAATGTAAAAAAGAAAACGTCTAGCAAGACACTCACACTACTACACATTCATATTCAATTCAATAACTCTAAGAAAAATCGACATCGATATCGAAATAGTTTGAGTATATATCGCCGCAGGCGCTTAATCACATCATCAATACATAAAGTTTTTCCTTTGCGACATTTTCAAAAAAGAAAGAAAGAATGATGACAATCAAATTTGAAGAAAATTAATCAATATCAAACGAAAAATCAGTCTTTGAAAATGTGAGTTGAAAGCCAGTTTATGCTTCGTTGTGGTCGTTGGTTTCAGTCGATCCCTCGATGGTATTTTTTGGAATCTCCGACGTCAACTGAGCATCGACAATGCTTGCATCTAGAATAAATGATTTAAAGATCGAAAATAAAAAATCAAACATGGAATAGGGACGTATAACTAATTTTCTGGTTTTAAATATACGTATTTATGTGCCCATTCTAGAATATGGATGCATTTATTTAGATCTGTACGAAATTTTAGTTAATTTCATTATTTATGTTTTCTTATAATAGATATCATCGACAAGTTGCTCCTTGAATGGATAGTCTGACTGATTTTTGCTCCTCTTTATCACCTCCAGTTCAGATACAATAGAGTTTTGAAAAACAAAAGGAGTTTTGATATATATTGAAGCAACAGATTGTTCCAACATTTTATGGAACATTTCACCGACACCATGGTGTAGTGCATGTCTATTTATTTGCTTATGGATATGGTTGGATTTGTTGTTGTAGCAGTGAGAGTAGAATAGATGATTGAGTGGGTGTCGATGCGGATGATGCTATTGAAGGGTGGAAAAATATTTGTAGGTAGGTGGATATGAGTGTTGCTATTCTCTTCACTTCTTCAACAACTAATAATCTCAACTACCCAGCCATTTGACATACAACAACGCTGCTACTATGAGACTCAGAAAATAAAGTAACGTATAGCGTCTGTCTCTCTTGTTATAACCTAGTCTTGCGTAAAATAGCAACCTAGGTTTCAATTCAATGCAAAAGATCTCCTCATTCCAAACAGCTATCGCATCGTGTCATAAACAAAATCAGAATTTACTCTACCTGGCTGTTCAGCCGTATTTACTTCTGCCTTTTCAGGCTCAACAATAGCATGCATGTCATTTTCTGATTTATCGGGAGCAATTTCTTTTTGTTTGTTTAAGTGTTCATGTGTTGCTATTTTTACGTGCACATTTTTGTGTAAAGCATGAGCATTGGGCGTGCGATGTGGACTATGCGAAGTCCGTTTGCCATGTGATTCTGTGTGACCGGACGTTTCTGTTTTATCATGCGTATCCGAATGTTCATGTTTGCCTTTATGTGAATCATGACCAGCTGGCTTGTGATGTAGACTGTGCGGAGCATGTTTACTCTGTGAATCTGTGTGACCTGATGTTTCTGCTTTTCCATGCGTATCCAAGTGTTCATGTACCTCTTTATGTGGAACATGAGAATCCGGCTTTCGATGTGGACTATGCGAACCATGTTTGCCATGTGATTCCGTGTGACCGGATGTTTCTGTTTTTCCATGCGTATCCGGGTGTTCATGTCCATCTTTATGTGAAGTATGAGTATCCAGCTTGCGATGTGGGCTATGCGAAGCATGTTTACCATGTGATTCCGCGTGACTGGAACTGTCTATTTTCCCATGACTATCCACTTGTGCATGTACCTCCTTATGTGAATCATGAGCATCTGGCTTACGTCGTGGACTATGCGAAACATTATTTCTATGCTTATCAGTGTGAGCATGTTCTAGAGCATTAGAATGAGTGCTATCTGCTGTTGCGGCTTCAGCCGGTTTTGCCAGATCATGCGTTTGTGTATCTCCAGGAACTATAAAAAAAAATAGAAAGATGAAAACGCAGATAAATATGGACTACAATGCATAGTAATGTAAATATGATGAGACATTAGAAATATGCAAAGTATTGTTAGAGAAGTAGTTGAAAACCGAAAAATTGCTATGGTGTGTGATAATAGAGAATATCAAGCACTTTCAAATCCTATTATCATTGCCGTACAGCTATACTCTTACTACCACAATCAACCCAAGAAGAGCGATAGAAATAGGAAAAACTCTCGGTTTGTGAGAATCTTCAGATCTTGAAAAAATCGAATAATTCATGCCGATTATAGCAGTTCATATTTGGGAAACCGCTGGACTTTTGTTGAAAAAAGTTTTCTCCTTCTCATGTGATCTTACTCGATTTTCTATGACGTATATGAAGAGCAAATCAAAGTTTGAATTCATAGCTATATGCTTCTGATCAAAGTACACGTCAAATAACATCAAAAAAGAGAGAGAAAGAAAAGCCTTGAAAAGAAACCTGCAAATTGCTCTCCATATACGCCATAGAAAATTGAGCAAGGCTACATTTATTAAAAAAAGTTTTTGTTTACAAAAGTCAACTGGTTTCTTCATTTTGAAATGTTATTATTAGTACTACTGTTTCGACTTTTTCAATCTTGCCGATTCTTCAAAGAATCGAAACGTCTATTTTGATCAATATTTTGCGCTCTTTACCCTGATTTAGTTAGACACAAAGCCAAATTTCTTCTTCATTAGGAAAAACTGAAATTCGAGAATCTTATTCAAACTTTCAGGTAAATCAATGTTTTTTTCTTAAACTGAGACTTTTTCAAAAATTTTCTAACCAGATTGTAGCCCATAAAATAATGTAAGTGATTCATAAAGTTTTCAATTGTAGGAAAGAAGATTTATGAAGAAAAGTTTGACAGGAATCTGATGTGTAAGAAAGTGCCCTAAACTTTTGTCTTCTACTTTATAATCACTTTTCTTAAAATGTATTGTTATATCAAAGACATTCTTTTAAAAAATTGGAAAACTATTCTTTTTCATGCGAAAACCTTGCTGCTGCGAGTGAAACATATTTTCTGTTAAGATTTGACTGAAATTAAAGTGAATTCTAATAGTACAAATAACGAATCTAATATGTTGAACTCTCATTTGAATCAGACATATGTACCTTGATGAGCATCTTTCGTATGAGTATTCGTCGGAGCATGTTGTTTGATGTGGTTTTCGGCATCCGGTTTGCGTCGTGTTGTTGTATGTTCATGAGCTTCCAATTTTGCATTTCTTGTACTTGCTGTTCCACTGTGCCCAGTCAAATGCTTATTCTGATCATGAGTTTTGTCATGAGCTTTGTTCGAATGATCAGTTATTTTTTCATGAGCTGAGCTCGATGAGGACATTGTATTGTTTGCAACTTATTCTGTAGGCAGTAATAAATTGAAATGTAATGATTCTTTTTTAAACAAGAGAGAGAAGCACTCAATCTCTAGAAGTAACAATAATTATGTCGCTGAAGCGACAAGTCACAATCTATTTCTTGATGATGTTGTGTATGGCAATAATCAATTTCAAGTTTTTTTTCTGAAGGAAAGTAAAAAAGACAAAAAAAAAATGCAAGAGAAAAAATCTCAGCGAGTAAATAATCCGGCACTAGTCAATTTTTTTTAAAGCAGTTCATTATCGAATGTGCTGAAATGCAAAGTATATGATTGAGTATACAATGTTACTAACATTTTAGAACTACTATTTGTACTTGATAGCAGTTTTCGATGAAATACGCATATCCATATTTGTGCACTGGCCAAGTCACTTAGAAGACGATTTTACTTGAAATGCAGCTGGATGTGGATCTATATGACTGTAGCTACGTGTGCGAGTCATTGTGCAGGTGGATGTAAATGAAGGAAAGACAGCCATTCACACTCGTTTTCTATTAAAACCCATTTTTAACAGCATATAAAATATGTCAATTAATTTGTTTTCCTGTCATAGTTCAATGAAGACAAAAATCAAAAGTTTATAAATAAAATCAATCGTTCTATTCTATCGTTCATGTTCGATTCCTTTCTTTGTATTTTACTCCTCTTCTTTTCTTGCTACTTGATCTATCTTTCTTCAACTGTGTTTTTTTCCAAGTATATTCTACTGTAAGATGGGAATAGATCAAGAAATAGCCACCTTCCTTTTCTCTTTCTTTTTCCCTATATAAATAACTGTGTTTTCGTAATAAAAATTGTTAATCTTGAAACGAGAAAAGAAATCTCTTTGACCAATCGATAAAACTGTAACACTGACAGTTGACTATTCCTTACAAAAACAGAAAGAAAATGCACTCAAGCAAACAAAGATGCCCACCACACTTGTCTCGAATCCGATAGATTTTCAAGATAGTATTCTTAATAAACAATTAGATAAGAATCAAGATCAAGCAGTCGAACTAATTGTGAACATTGTTACTGATCAAACAAAGCGAATTGAATAGTGAACATTCAAGGATATTAATGAATGGTTTCATGAGAATACTGTCCGTTGCCAGCAAAAATATGCAGATATGCGAGAGCAATATGCTCGTGAATATAATGAAACACTATATCGGGATCAATTTGCACACCTTGTCGGTTCTCTTCATCATCTTCAATCCAGACGAACATAATCATATTCATAGGCATAACAGAACACTGATTTCACTGTTACTTAAATTGCTGAAACTAACAATAGCACATATTGTGTTGTATCAACTAAAAACGAACTAATTATTCTTGTTGATGATGATTGAACACATTCGATCCGTTCTAGTGCATGTCTCATTTCAGTTGTATATGCGGCTAGAGAAAGAAAGATACGGATACAAGTCGAAAACAGTTATTATACTTTGAACAATTGATTCGAATATGTGTAGACTATATGTTTGGTCACTCTTCGAATCTAAAATGAGGGTCAAAATACGAACGAATACATTTTTAGTTATCCATTAGAGTAAGATGAGATAAGAAAAAAGTTCTCTCTCTCTATCAATGCTATTGTGGAGTTTTTATTGTGAAAATGTTCAAAGTTATATGAGTCAGTCGGTGTGAGCTGCATCCAACGTCCAAAGAAAGTGCTCATTCGAGAGTTTCAGGTCTTGTTTAATTTAAGATATGAGATAGGGCTAAAAGTTTCGTAAGCATTGACATAAGCCGTCTTTAAGCATAATGAATCTTCAGTTCTTAATCAATTTTTAGGGAAAATTGTAAGGAGACAAATGCGCTGTAAATGTACACTCATAAGATCCGTCTTCGCTTCAAATTATTGTTGAAATAAAAATTGCATTTGCTCAACATGAGAAGATGGGGATGCAAACGGATATCATGATGAAAGTTAAGAGGAGACTTCCAACTATACTGACTGTTAAGTTTTGCTGCAACTCGTCGATTTATCACATATCTAATCATTGTTTAATCGTGCTTTATCAGAATACGCGAAAGGTTTCCGATCAATCTCGATGACTGGTCAAATCTGAGATGGTTTTCATGATACTGTTTATTTCATCAAACAAGACTAATAACAACAAAACTCATAGTTAGCACGCCAAACAATTCCAATCTTATCAAGGTATTGGTGCGTCGAAGACCTTTTGGGTCAAAATCCTATCCAGTTCAAAAAAAACTGAAACACTCCAGATAAAATTCGTTAAATAAATTATCACACCAAGGAAAGAGCTCTTGGAGCGTTATAGAAATTTGTCGATTGTCTCCAACACATGTAACTCATACAATAACACTTAAATCATGGAAACGATATGCCATGTCATCTCTGCTAATCTATCGAATAAATAGTTTTCATTTGTTTTCTTTATTATACATAATAATATGTCTTGCAAATTCCGTCATGTCATCCAATTCATAACTGAACAATAAGAAAAACCAATGGAATTACAAAGCATAATGGCAAGCCACAGAAAAATTATCTACATTGTTCAATCAACATATTCTGCTTGATAGATGAGAATGTCAATCAGATATTCTGGCAATAGCAATCCAGCGTGTGGAAGTATAAGACGTTTAATGCAATAATAGAAGACTGAATTTTTATTTAGTTCATGTAATTTTTTTTATTCATAGAAGTTTATAAAATATAGCAACAACATTAAGTTTTACATCACAATAACAGTATTATTTGCTAGTAACATATAGACAATGATGACTAGAGTGAAAAAAGATTAGTATAATTTACCCGGGATTAAGGTTTGACACAGACGGGAGGTGTTTGAACCTAGTCAACAAGACCCTTGCTACACATATTGCAACGTTTTACGATAATAGAGATTTTTTTCTGACATGTCCTGTCTGTCTCTTAGACAGACAGGAAAAGAGGAATACGATTTTTCTCGCTATATATATTGAAACTTCTATTAACAAGTATTTGACACAAAACAGTTATGAATACACACAATCTTCGGTGTTTAAGCTGTTGCTATTCTCATTTTTCGGTAAACAAGTCGAACTAATTTCATAAATTCATCTCTAAACACGGTTCCAGTTAATGTATAAATATAAAATGGCATTCCAAAACTCATAAAACTCAGAAGGTAAAATAGCTGAAAACAAAGATTTTCAATTGTAGACATCAATAAACTTTTTGAAACATTCAACGTCAATGTCAAATAGAGACGTTGAATAGCCAATGGAATATTAAATATCGTTAATAGAATAATTTGAACAATTAACATTTGAATTAATTGTCGATCTGTTTTCTTCATTGTCATTGTTGTGCCATGTGTACTAGCTGTTGGTGCAATTGAGCTAAGTAATTTTCTTACATTTAGTACAGTTGCATATCCAAATATCAACATAATCGTTGATGGTATAAAAAGGAATGCGAGTGCTGAAGCAATTTCATTGTACAAACGACATGCCATATCTTGACCATAACATGTCAATGGAGAATTTCGAAGATTTGGTACATAACAATAGAAAGTTTCAGCAAATATCAACGATCCACCAATAATAGCAAAGATCATTAATCTGCGCGTGAAACGAAGATTGCTTAGATTTCGACGACGTACATCACGGCAACTTATACAATATCGATCGATAGTAGCATAAGTCAAAAGCCAAGATGAAGCCGTTGTTGATACCCAAACAATGAATGCACGCAATTTACAAATTGTAGCATCAGTTGCTGACATATCAAGTGAAAAAGTAGCAAAAACTCGACTGATTAAACCTGAATAAAGAGCAATGAGACCAGCAATAGACGCATAATAAAAATAGACAGCACATGGATTCGTTCGATGTTTAGGTTGATGAAATATAAACAAATTCAAAACATTTCCAATCGTACCAAATAAAAGAATAGCTATTGAAAAATAGCGATTTATTCCAAATGTAACTATTGCCAGTGTGGAAATTATACTAGTAGATGTTGTGTTCGACATTGATGTCAAAAAAATGGAAAGCAAAAAACTTTCTTTATTTGACTAATAATCTTATTATGCGTTGGTCTTTTCTAATTATACTACTCATTTCTGAGTGACATCGTGATTATATTTTACTGATGACAAAAGCATAAGTGTCAATGACAAATTGAAGCAGTAGTTTAGTGCTATACACTATAATCATGTTTATTGACTTAATTCATATTTCGAGAATATGTCAACTTCAAACACCACATACCCTTATACAGGAAACAGCAAGAGATCAGTATAAGAAAGAATAACACGGAAAAGAAAATGAAAAAAATAGAGGCTAAGGGTTATTTGTCATTTATGAGCAAGAATAAAATAAAGTTAAAGTGAAATGAAATAGTTTTAAATTTTCAGTTGATTTCAAGTTTGGCTACTCTCTTAATCTTCGATACAATAGTTGAATTTGACAGTTAATTTTTAATAGTTTGATCAATGAGAGTGTATTTAAAAAAATATATAAATCGTTTTTAGAAAACTTTATTGAAAAGTTACTTCATTTTAAAGAAGGTTACTGCAATTTGCAGAAGATATATGATTTGGTTCAATAGAGATTTTTTTGATCTTAAACGACATAGCAATATATATATATATAGAACGTAAACCTTTATTCAAAAAAACTTTTGATTGACGTGATATCTAGAAAGCTGTGCATGTTATAAAGAATTATATGATGCTTTTTCTACAGATAATAATTATCAAGTGTTATATGAGATAAAATTATATGCATGTAATAACAGGTCTTGAAGATAATCTAAAACTTCAACAAATAATTACCGTCGGTTGAATGTAAAATGAGCTCTGTGAAAGAGAATTCTATATTTCAGATATATGTCGTAGTAGAAATTAAAATTTCAATTTCTACTATAGAAGAATTTTAAACTCTACTAAAAACTTATACTATAGAAGTATGTGAAGTTTTTCTATAATAGAAAATAAAATTAACCCTTGTGATCACTGGATTATTTGATTTAATGCCATAAACAACTTATAATTCGTCAATAGTAACTAATTTAAAGTGTTTATGGACCCAAAATTTAAACAGCTCCACACCAACCCCCTTTTATTACCAATATGATGTCATTATAAATAGCTTGTGTGATAAGAAACTTTGAACGAAATCATTCGCCTAAATATTCTATGTTTATCAAGTTTCGAATAAAATAGTTCCATTTTATGTAATGTTCAAATGTTTTTTCTTTTGATAGAGATGCGAGAAGTTCAAATTAAATATTCAAAATCATTTTTTTTCTTTTTGTTCTACATATTGCATCATTCGAATAAGGGTTAATTTTATTTTCTATTCTAGGAGAAATTCACATACTTTCTATAGTATAAGTTTTTAGTAGAATTTAAAATTCTCCTATAGTAGAAATTGAAATTTTAATTTCTACTACAACATATATATTGAATAGTTGATTGTTTCTGTTATTGATAAGATAATACTCATTATGAGCGAGCAAAGACTATCGATTTGAGTTTAGCTAAGCAGAGTTTTCATTTAATTCAAAGTAAGAGTTCAAAAAAGTTTTATCAGGCCTCGCAGCGATCCTGATTTCCTGATTTTTCGAAGTCATTCTGATTCAGCCTAATTTTGGTAAAAGATCCTGATTTTCCTGATTTTTGCTGCTTTTCGACACTTCAGTTGGGTACAAACCCGAAACCTTTTTGGTTTCATAGATCCAATTTTTTTTAGAGAGAAGGTGTCCCCTTATTTGACGTGATACTTTCACTATATGTTGGAGGTCTCTGAACTAGAATAGCCCCAACTTGGCTCGCTTGCCTGGACATTTGGGGCGGATTTATGACCGTTTTACTGGATTTTGGACTTATGACACGAGGTTCTCTGCAACAGTAAATAAGCGAATTTCGACCTGAAATTTTGTCTATAAATAAATCTAATGATCACAAGGATACCCTAAAAGTTTCAGACAAAAGGAATGCATCCTTCTGGAGATACTTCGTTTTCAAAAGTCATCCATTTCTCAGAAAAAAGTTCGCAAAAACCGGAATATTTTGGATATTCAATATCTTAAAGAAGATTCATTTGCTTTGTCCGAATTTTTTAGAGTATCCTAGTGACCATTAGATTTATATGTAGACGAAATTTCAGATCGAAACTGCACATTTGTTGTTGCAGATAACCTCCTGGTGTCATAAGTCCAGAGTCCAGTAAAACGGTTATAACTCAGCCCAAAAAGCCCGGACAAGCGAGTCTACTTTGGGTTATTCTAGTCTAGTCCAGCCGACATCGTTGGAATATCTTGACGATGTCCCAACGATGTACGCTTGAAGTTGACGATTTCTGCTGGCACTAGATCTTCTAGGATGAAATGTGTTGATTTTACGATTTCCTAACGACGAGTTGGAAATCATCACAATGTTTCAGCGTTTTTGTTTTGTCATTTCTCACTTTGATTTAATTGTTCTATTGGGAGTTAAGCTAGCTGTTACGTCATTGTCATGTTTTCGAAATATAGAGGCAATGGGAGGATTATTTTCTCTTTACATTCTATGAAGTATCGGTTTTCCGCGGGAGGTGGTACGATTTCCCATTTTAAAGAATATTACCAACTGCTGGAATAGAGCAAAGAATGAATTTCATTTGATATTTCATTATTCCTATTATGAAATTATATGCATTTTCGATGAATAGTATCTATGTTTTGAGAATCCTGATTTTCTGATTTATTAGTTCAAATACTGATTTTTTTCTTGAAAATTTCTGCCCTGATTCTTGATTTTGCATACTAGACCGCTGCGACTCCTGAATTTTATCATAGTATATAGAGATAATTATAATTATTTCTTGTGTATGTAAGGTGAATGGATAAAGATGTCTGCATGAAGAGAAGACGCTCATCAACATCTATTTTTCACAGTGATCAGTGGCGGATTTAGGGGGGGGGGGGCGCTTGGAGCGATCGCCCCCATTCGAAAAAAAAATTTTCGATTTTTCCCAGCAGAAAAGACTTGAAAATAGAGTGCATACTACTACTAATGAACTTCAAAACTCGATTTTTGATCAAAATCGCCCCATATCTATCAAATCGCCCCTTATCAAAAAAATCCTAGATCCGCCGCTGACAGTGATCTTATTTTGAGCATCGTTTTCTATGTTTTTTTATTTTTGTATATCAACGCTCTTGGACCTCGATTAGTTTGTGTCCATTTGATATTAATGCCATGTTATGATGACAATTACATGGTATGTGCAAGTTCAGAAGAAAAGTTCATGACATTCTTAGTAATAATTAGATTTAGCGAACTCTATACATTGCGGCTAATTTAGAAGAAAAAGAAAAGCACTAATTTAGAGTACTCTGCAAAAGACAGCTCATCAAATAAAAAATAGTGCAACTGAAGGTATAAGTTTTATTAATACTGTTATCAGTAGTTTTTTTTAGAAGTTTAACAATGAAAGTTTGAGACTTCAGATTATTTTGTAACGAAATAATTGAAATTTAAAAAGAAATTTGAAATTCAATTTAACAGTTTTTGAATTTCGATTTTATATTTCGCCAATGAGAAGACAAAGAAATACTACACAATCATTTCTGTATTCGGTGTGCCAAGCATATAAATAAGAAACATTATTATTGACACAGGATCTTACATGAGAGAGGATTTCATATTACAAAGTATGAAAGAATATACGGTGAATCTCTAATAAACATTTTAAACATGAAACACTTCGAGTGACAAAATGTAGAACACTGCTTCATGCAGTAGAGGATTTATTGTGATAGGGCACTTCTTGAAATGTAACAGAAGACTCAAAGTTAAGTTTCAAAATCTAGTAATTGCTTCAGAAAAAAATTCTTTGATTCATAAGTTAGATGTAGTTAACGATGATACCAAGACAAGAAAATTCAAGAACAAACGCACCATGATTGTTGGTATTTGTTGAACGACTTACTTTCGGTATTGTAATATCAGTGTTCTTTTATTCTTCACGCAGTGTAGACCATGCATATAGAGAAATACATTGTAGAATGACAGTTAATCCACCATATATGCCTAAAATTTTCGTAAAACTAAGAGAAAATCGTGACGTTTCTCAAATATTAATGGACAATAAGTTGGAGTACACTAGTCATAATATGTTGAATATGAAACGTTGATCTTCCACTTTTATATAAAAAGTACTTTAACAATATTAATTATAGTTGTATTTAATAGAGAACAACTTGACAATTTAGGATTCATCGTCCTTATATAGCATGATGTAATAAAATAAACAACATAATCTACACTAAATATATGTAAATTATCAACACATGTTTGATTGTATAAACATCCAAATGTTGAGCGAAGTAATGTTCCAATTATTGAACATCTAACATTAGTTGTTTGATAGATGCACGATCAATACCTCTGCGATTGATACTATCGCTTCGTTTTCCAAATGAACAAAATTTGTTCAGTAAGGCAACACGCATTAAGAACTGTAGCATTAGTACTATGATGTGTTACCTACTAATTCAATTATAATAAATACGTATATATAACAGAATTTTCAATTTAACATCTGTAATAGAAAATCTGACTGAGATTTCTAATGAAATTGATTAACGGCATTATTAAGCGTTGTTTGTAAAAACGAATTTCGAATAGAAAATCAAGTCAACCATCTTCTATAAGCTCACTAGAACATATTTGATAAAATTTTGCATCTATTATAATACATTTCTTGTAAGTTATATCAACATAAGTACGGGAACATTGAAGTGTATTCGTATGTAAAATTCGCAACTCTTTATATCAAGTCTGACATACTAACTATTTCTTTCGAAATAATAATATAAAGAAATTAAATTGATAATGTGCAGAAAAAAAAGACTAAAATAGAGGCATGCTGCAAATCATTCAAGACGAATGACATCCATTAGGATTGGATCGCTGTTAGATGCTTTTAATGCAGCAACATTATGTTGAATTTGATTAGATTGAAATTTTCTGAGAAAACTGTT